TTTCCTGTTTTGTAATCCAATGCTTGATTTTGTTGCTGAAAGTGTTCCAGCTTTGACCATTGAGAGCTCTTTTTAAGTTGGTTCTTGTGTTCATTCAATGCATGCCCCACCTCCGCTTTTTGTTGAAGATTTCTTTACTTTTGTCATCAGAGGATCTTCCAGACTCATCTTGCAGTATTCCTGTCCCAGCCCTAGACTCAATCATTCCTTCACAGAGATTGTGCGGATGTTTTCAACCATCGTGGCAGGTGGTATACAACCATCTACTTTATCCAGGGAATGAGAACAGAGTCAGGAAGCAGTCAGGAAGGACCAAGGAGAAATCTAACATTCAGACTGAAAAGGGATTGGAGGCCAAGAAAAAAGAAGGAGCCATTAGAGAAGTGGGAAGAAATTTTTTATTTGCTTCATATTACTTAGTCCTCAACGATACTGTAGCTCCTGTAAGTCAGAGGGCACGTGTCATAGCCTTTGGTTTGCTCAGTAGCTGGTAATACCCAACTACTAATAGACACTTAATAAATCTATGTCCATTTAGCATTCCTATCAACAAATCTACCACTAGAAGTAGGCATCAAAGAAGTAGTTGAGCACTAGGAAGATTCCAGTACTATCTTATCTATTCAGGAATGCTAAAAACCACTTCTTACCTTACAGAGCTGGAATTACTATGCAAATTGCTTATGGTTCTGATAATATTCCAAGAAAATGTAACCCTGAACCAGGGCGATTATTTGTTATTGGAAAATAACCATCCAGATATTCATGGCTTATCTATTAATAAAATTACTATGATGTCTTACATGCCCCTTTCTTGCTGTGTTTTAGAATAACTGCCTCATTGATCTTTTTCTATTTTAAAAGTCAAGTACCTATCACAGAATTATTGGTATATAAAGCTCTCAAATTTTCAAAGAACAATTGGAAATTTTAATGGAACATTTTAAAAATTAAATCATTTTCCTTTTTAAAAATATAATGCTTATTGAAAAGTCAAGAAAGCTATCTCATAATCCCAGTGCCCCAAATCAGATATCATTAATATTTATTATATGAATACAAGATACCCAAGGTGTGCATAAGGGGTATGCGTGCATAAGGGGTATGTATATAAGCTGTGTTGTACACACAAATTGTTCTATAACTTAGCTTTTTCACTTTATTTTTAGTATTTTCTCACATTATTAAATACACTATTATGTTACCTCTTTGTGGGAGTGAGTGGAGTTTCAGTTTTTATGCATCATGATTTATTAGTCTCTATGTTTGGACATTAGAGTGTTTTCAAATTTCCTGCAGTTTTCTGTAAACGAAGATCAACATTACTATGCTTGATTGGGAACACACCCATAATTGTTTCCTTATCTCTAAAAATGGATGTCTCTGTTTAATAGCTTTATGATATTGAAAGTTTTCTGTTTTGTGTTGGTTTGTAGTGACCAGCATCCAGGTCTCAGTCTGGCTTTGCTCTGAATCCACCTTCTTGCTAACAAAAATGATGATGACCGGTGTCCACTAACCCAGCAGAAAGGTTGTGTCAACTCACCATCCCCATCATTGGTAATTAAGGTAACTTCCAAACGTGACATCATTTCATACTTTTCAAGGAATCATGGATTTTTCTCAAGAGTCTATAAAAGATGATACAACAAAGCTACATTTTATTTTTTCTATTATGGGAGCTCTCTTTCTCCCTGCAACTTTTAAGTTTTAAATATTTTGCTAAGTGATATAAAAATGCAAACACACATTATTTAGTATGACTTGCAAAGCAACTACAAGGTCGTCTATAGTAACACAGTCTTCTTGGCTACTGCTAAGAAGAGCAATGATAAAATTTATTAGTCAGCCTTCTGCTTATAAATCTCTTGCTAAGAAAAGAAAACCTATTTTAACTAAGTTTTTTTTTGCTTTCTTTGACATTATTAATGTATTTGAAAGAAAGATAATCTTTTGCACTTTTATTTGAGATTTACTAATTCTTTTTATAGAAGGAATCAAGTTTAGCCAACATTCCCAAGTGCACAAACAAGAAATTTGAGGGATGGTTGAAATAATAAAGTTTTCCAATTAAATTGTGACCATTATTTATTTGTTTGTATTTATTTACATATACACCATTCAAAGAATTTGGGACAGTAATTTTTATTTTAAATGAAAGAATAACAAAACAATGGGTAAAGCCCTTTTTTGTGGAATTTTTTAAAGATTTATTTATTTATTTGAGAGGCACCATTACAGAGAGACGGAGATACAGAGAGAGAACTTCCATCCACTGGTTTACTCCCCCAGATGGCTGCAATGGCCAGAGCTAAGCTGGTCTGAAGCCAGGAGCCAGGAGCTCCTTCCAGGTCTCCCATGTGGGTGTAGGGGTCCAGGGACTTAGCCATCACCTGCGGCTTTCCCAAGTATATCAGCAGGAAACTGGACTGGAACTGGAGCAGTCGGGACTCAAACTGGAGCCCATATGGGATGCTGGCTCTTCGGGCCATGGCTTTACTCACTATACCAAAGTGTTGGCCCCAAGCCTATTATTAAAAAAAAAAAAAACAAACTAATAGACACAATAAGAGAGAATATAAATATGTCAACATACTAGCTCTGCTTGAATTTCAAATCTGGTTTCATGAATTGTTTATTCTAGAAAAATAGATCATCATTGTTAATACATACAAAACATACTTATTTAATGTAAGACACTAATGTAATAATTTTCACTTTTTAATATTTATGTCAAGAAAAAATGAACACAAGTGGCCTTTTTCCCCCAAATCAGAAGAGCAAGGTATGCTAAGATTACTTGTAACAAGTTTTCAAACAGTTGATCAGGCTGCACTTTAAAAAAATATCCCATTTTCTCTTTCAAAAGGTCTGAAAGGCAGAGGATAAAATCAACCTACATATTTTTTTTAATTGTCCAGCAAATGGATCTCTACAAGAATGCCTTAAAGTGAACAGTTCCTGGGGCCTGCGCTATGGCCTGAAGCGCCGGCATCCCATATGGGCACCGGTTTTAGTTCTGGCTGCTCCACTTCCAATCCAGCTCTCTGCTATGGCCTAGGAAAGCAGTAGAAGATGTCCCAAGTCCTTGGGTCCCTGCACCCACGTGGGATACCCATAAGAAGCTCCTGGCTCCTGGCTTCATATTGGCGCAGCTCCAGCCATTGCAGGCCATCTGGGGAGTGAACCAACGGATGGAAGACCTCTTTCTCTCTCTCTCTCTCTCTCTGTGTGTGTGTGTAACTCTGACTTTCAGAAAAATAAATAAATCTTTAAAAAAAAAAAAAAAGAACAGTTCTTTCAACTAATAATGTATTCTCAAAAGGAGAGGAAACCCCAACAGTCTTTACTAGTGCATTCTTACAGAGAGATGGAGTCGGTGTCTAGGGATACAGAAACTCTTCCCTGAGCCCCGAAGAGACATTAAGAAAGTTAAAGATGACAGAAGCAGTGTGCTGGCAGCAGCAGAGCACAGGAAAAGCCATTACTAAACACGACAGTGCCCACCACGAGGCAGGACCCGCACACGTAATCGCATTTTGCTCTTTGTAATATTATTTATATTTTCCGCAGATTGGACAACAGATATTTGGTAAGACAAGCAATGTTGTTTCTTAAACAAAGAAACAGTGGTTAGAAGAACTGATAAGTGATTAGCAAAGCCAGGTCTATTCCAGTCTAGTACATCACAGCACTTATAAATCACATAAGATTGTCAGAGTGCCTACAAGACCACTGAGCAAGGTTCAATTTCTAGATAAATGCCTGACAATTTAAAGGCCAAGAGAGTAAGCTCTACTAATGTGTGTCACCCTTTGGAAGTTCCTATTAATAAGGAGTATAACACACACACACACACACACAGAAACACACACACTGCTTTATTTTTCTCATTGTTATCCTCAAATTCCAAAATGTATAATTTTTTACTGGCACAGTTTACCTTTCTGATGGAAAGAAATTACCTCTTTTCCTGTGTAAGGTTTTGGGAGGGTTTTTTGTTTGTTTGCTTGCTTGCTTGTTTTTTTTTTTATTATTATTGTTTTAGATTAAGAGTAGGCATGGAAAATGATATAGTATTTATATTATTTTCTAGGAACTACAGTCATCATAAATGTCTGCAGGAGGGAACAGATTCAGGTAGATTTGGCACTACTTTTGTGGAGAGCTTCAGTTCCTCGATAAAAAATTTCGAATCTAGCAAAAGGATATGAATAGATACAATGGCTGTTACTGGGAACTTAAATTTCAAAAACAGCTTCACTTATATGCAGAAAATGCCTGGGTAGTCCATCTTTCACTCCATCTCAGGGTGTGCAATAATGCTGTGGCATAGTGGGTAAAGCTTCCATCTGCAGTGCCAGCATTCCATATAGGCATCAGTTCGAGTCCCGGCTGCTCCACTTCCAATCCAGCTGTCTGCTATGGCCTGGGAAAGCAGTAGAAAATGGCCCAAGTCCTTGGGTCCCTGCACCCATGTGGGAGACCTGAAAGAAGCTCCTGGCTCCTGGCTTTGGATCAGCCCAGCTCCAGCCATTGTGGCCAACTGGGGAGTGAACCATCAGATGAAAGACTCTCTCTCTCTCTCTCTCTCTCTCTCTGCCTCTGCCTCTCAAAGAAATAAATAAATCTTTAAAAAAAAAGAAAATCAGAATTGTGGGTGCCATCCCAGCCCTACTGACCTTCTTTTAAACAATATCTCCAGGAGATGAGAATGCATATCAAAGTTTAGGAAGCATTTGAGCAATTTTACTCTTCCTGCTCAGGTATTTCCTCCCTGGCTAGTATTCCATTTAGAAAGAGATGTAGCTATGTGAACACTGGCCCTATTGTCAGATAGGCATGAAATAAAAGTAGGTACAATTTACATTAATTGACTTTCTGTGTATGTGGTTTCCTTTGTTGTCTAGAGACATCCACCTTCAGGGTGGCAGGGATAGGATTGTTAGAGCAAGGCTGTAGAGACAAGGAGAAAGAGAGTTACTGTTCAGTCTATGACATCATGAATAGAATTTTTATTCTATAAAAGCATAAAAGATGTGAAAGCCACGGTTGATTAAGAGAAGAAATGCTTCTGCCATCATATCCTTTGCCTTTTCATCACAAAACCAATGGATGAATGCTGGTGTCTCTTGGGATAAAGGAGATACCCATTCCATCTGTTACAAAGGCATGGAATTTTTCTTCATTCATTTCATTTTCAAATGATTTTATATTTACAGGAAAGTTGCAAAGATAGTACAGAGAGTGCCTTTACTGAGTTTCACCTAATGTTTCTCTCTGATTAACCATTATACAATGATCAAATTAAGAAATTGTCATTGGCCGGCACCGTGGCTCAATAGGCTAATCCTCCGCCTGCGGCGTGGGCACCCCGGGTTCTAGTCCTGGTCGGGGCACCAGATTCTGTCCAAGTTGCTCCTCTTCCAGTCCAGCTCTCTGCTGTGGCCTGGAGTGCCGTGGAGGATGGCCCAAGTGCTTGGGCCCTGCACCCACATGGGAGACCAGGAGGAAGCACCTGGCTCCTGGCTTCGGATCAGCGCACCGGCCGCAATGGCCATTGGGGGTTGAACCAACGGACAAGGAAGACCTTTCTCTCTGTCTCTCTCTCTTTCTCACTGTCCACTCTGCCTGTCAAAAAAAAAAAAAAAAAAAAGAAGAAAGAAAGAAATTGTCATTAGTGACATGCTAGACTTTATGCAGATTTCTCCAGTTTTTCTACTACTGTTATCTTTTTAGTCATTCTATGACACCATGTGGAACTTAGTGCATTGGTCTTCCAAGCTGTGGTCAGTTTTTCATGACCTTGACAGTTTTCAAGAGAACGGCTTAGATATTTTATAGTGTTCGTCAGTTTGAGTTTATTCCATGTTTTCTGATGATTAAATCATGCTTGTAGATTTTGAGGAAGAAAACTGGAGAATATTTATCCTCAACGTGAAAGGAAAAGATGTGAAGGCAACAAAAAGCCAGCTTGCTTCTTGTGGTCCCAGGAGGTGGTGGGAAGAGAAGGGAGACAAAAGTAGGGCAAGGAAGAGGGTAAGATTTTCCTAGGGTTCTGGTTCACACAATTGCCACACACACACTTTTCTGGGGCTAACTCCAGGGAAAAGACAGCTTTGTCACATAAGGTAGGTACGGGGCACCAAAGGTTGTCAGGGTAGGGGCTCCCTGTCCCAGGAGGGGCTCCGGCAGGGGTGTGCTGTGAAATGCTCAGTGACTGGCGATGAGGGATGTACTGGGGCTGGGGGAGGGGTGGAGCCTGCTTCATAATGTTTGCCGACTTCCATAGAGTAAATGTTCCCATTGTGGTCGATTTTAAGCTACAAAATGATGTCACTGAACACAGCTGGAAAGAGCTCTGTGGTGGTGTATCATCGCATAGTATTTCTACCATACACACCCAATAGGCATAGATGGTAGCAAAATGCACAACAATAAATAGGAAATGAAAATTATTGAATATTATCATTATTTTTAATGTAATTTTTTATATGTTAGTAATATTTCATTTTTAAAAAATTTTTTGACAGGCAGAGTGGACGTGAGAGAGAGACAGAGAGAAAGGTCTTCCTTTTGCCGTTGGTTCACCCTCCAATGGCCGCCGCGGCTGGCGCACTGCGCTGATCCGATGGCAGGAGCCAGGTACTTATCCTGGTTTCCCATGGGGTGTGGGGCCCAAGGACCTGGGCCATCCTCCACTGCCTTCCCGGGCCACAGCAGAGAGCTGGCCTGGAAGAGGGGCAACCAGGACAGAATCCGGCGCCCCAAATGGGACTAGAACCCGGTGTGCCGGCGCCGCACAAGGCGGAGGATTAGCCTAGTGAGCCACGGCGCCGGCCATATTTCATTTTTAATGATGGCTGTGTTTAACCACTGGCTCACAAAGTTCCTAAATACTGAACAACTGGTTAAGGTAAAAGCTGCTTCCAGCACTCCAATGTTTCTAGAATATTCTGAGGCTTTGGCTCAGCACCATATACCATGCAGCGCAGCAGCAATTGTATAGAAGAGGCAATAGAAGGTGGGTTCATATATTAGACTTAGAAAGCACCCCGTCTTGTCATAGCTTTTATGTGGGAAACAGGGCTCCCCAGGGTTTTTCAATTTCCCAGTAAGAATAGTAGAGACCAGGCAGAGGTCTATGGAAACAGACACCATCAAGTCTCTTTGACACCAGGGGAAATGTTCAGGACTGTGGCAGTGGTGATGATAGCCAGCACACAACAGATGAGACCTAACCACAATTCAGTGGTCACAATTCCAGATAGAATATGAAGTCAACCCCTCTAGAGACCACTGATTATCCAGAGGATATTTCAAGATCCAAGGGTGTCACAAGAGTACAATAAGACACCCCATTATCAACTCAGTCGCTATATTAGGAATAAGAAGGAAGAAGGATGTAGAGAAAAGCTGTGCATTCCTCAAAAGATCAGGTCACCTATAACAACGTTATTCAAAATGTGGTCCAAAGACCAGCAGCGGTCCAGAACCTGTGGCTGACTGAAGATAAGGTAGTAAGAGGTGAGAGTTCAGATTTTGAAACTTCTATTACAAACTGACATTGCCATGGTTTTCCAGGATGTGATCAGTGGACTCATCATGTTGAACAGGATACACCAGTTCAGGGGTGCTGAACTGGCAAGGTGAGTTTTATATGCATGAGCTGAACATTGGTCATGTGCAACAGAACTGAGGCTGGTCACAGTTTATTGGAAAAAGATCAACCAGTTTGAGAAATGATAATCTAAAGGATTTTTAATCCATCGCTTTTGGATTGGACTCAAACTCTGAATAGTTTGAATTAGAGCTTTTCAAAACATGGTCTGTGGGCTACCAATATCAGCTCTACCCAGAAACCTAACAGAGATGCAAATTCTAGGGTTCCACCCCAGATGTACTGAATCAGAAACCCTGCAGGGGGGCCCAGAAACAGTGGTTTAACTAGCCCCCAAATGACTCTGATGCATGTTTGAATTTAAGAACCAGTGGTTTCAATGTTCAAAGTGAAAGAATTGTGTTCAAGCTGGAGGAGAATGAAACTTTGTTAGTTAAATATCAGTCAATCCTGTTAGAAGGCAGAACTACAGCCCACAAAGATCAGACCAGGTAGGTAGAGAAAAAAGAAAACGAAAACAAAGCTTTCTTTTGCAAATCTAAATGATATACAACTATGTCAGGACAAGATGCTAAAGTTGAATTCAGTAGGTGATCATTTTTAATTGTTTCTACAAGTTTACCCATACTGCTTGTGCCTCTACCTTTCCAAGCATAACCCATCTCTCAGCCTACATCAGCTTAGATGTAGTCACAATAAAAGTGATGGAAGAATTATTTTTCTAGCTTTATTCTCTGCATATGATTGATAGATTGCTAGCTTTCTTCACATTCCCTGTAACTACTACTATATATTTTCTTGTTTTAAAAAATATTTATCCATTTGAAAGGCAGAGTTATAGAACGCAGAGAGAGAGAGAGAGAGAGAGAGATGTCTTCCATCCACTGGTTCACACCCAAGATGGTCGAAATTGCCAGAGCAGCACCAGTCCAAAGCCAGGATCTAGGAGTCTTCTCTAGGTCTCCCATGAGGGTGCTGGGGCCCAAGGACTGAGGCCATCCTCCACTGCTTTCCCAGGCCATTGCAGAGAGCTGGATTGGAAGTGGAGCAGCCGGGACTCAAACCAGCATCCATATGGGATGCTGGCACTGCAGGCGGTGGCTTTACCCGCTATGCCACAGCGACAGCCCCTACTATTTATTGTCAAATGATTACTACTATTAATACTCCAGGAGGCCCCTTCTTGGCTACATTGTGTCATCCACCCTTCTCCCTTTCTGCCTGGGCTCCCCTCCTACCATGGTCTCCCTGCTGTGTAATTCCATGGATGTTTCTGCTCCTTCCCAGGTAAGGTTGATCTGATTTCATGTGAGAATCTCATCCACCTGAAAATTAGCCACATGACAGCCAAGAAGAAATTCTCTGTGCTCTCCATCTGGGTACACTGTCTTACTGGGGGAAGCCATCCAGGGTCTTCTAAGGCACTCAAGCTCAAGTTCTAATGTGCACGCAAATCACTCAGGGCTCTTGTTAATGTGCAGTCTCTGACACAGTGGTAATAGGGTGAACTTGAAGATCTGCATTTGTAACAAGGTCCCAGGTGAAGCCTATGCTTCACGAACAACATATTGAGAACAAATTGAGAGCTGTGATGTTTCTGCTTTTGCCGTGCACTTTCCCCAGGTCTTGAATCCAGGTGACTCTTACCAATACTCCAGGTTTGACAGGGATGGTCCTGATAATTCTATGTTGTGGAATACCCCTCAGCCAGGGGAAAACGAGGGCAACTGGTCATCGAATGCTGCTCCTCCGCACGCGGAGGAGCCGCACCGGACCGGGCGCTTGTTGTTCCCTTTTTTTACAAGTCCTTTCTATAGTAAAGTAAGAATAAGTAAACAGCAAACTCCCAAAGCAAGAATGAGTAGAGAGAAATGAGAAAGAACGAAGTAACGAACTTCCCCGCGAACTCTCCAACGCACTCTCCAACCAACCCACACCACCATGCCATCTCTCTCCTCCTATATAGTCCTCTCCACCAATCCCAACTCGGCTGCCCACACGCCGAGCACGCCGCTCTCCTCCAATCAGGAGCAGCTCCTGCAGCTTGTCGAGTTGGTGAGAGGCAGCTGGGTAGAAGCTGTTTACTTCTCTCCCAGCGCCATATTGTGGGAGAGCAGATGCATAGAATAAATCTTAATTCCAGTAACAGTATAGTCCGAATTGCTCCCCACAATCGAATAGTCTGAATTGGTCATCGTGGCAATCTGAACAATTCCCATCTAGCCTCCACATCCCCAACTAACCATTGGGACTTTATGTCTGGACTCTATTTTTCTAAAAATAAATGTTTCCCTTAAGGATCTTCATTTCTCTTCCACACAATGTGCTCCCTGCTTTAAAAACACTGCATGTTTGCAGCCAGTGCAGTTGGCCTGTCTCGGGAAGAGCTGCCTACTTAATTCAGTCTGGAAGATTCCATCTAATGTTCCCACGCAACAGACAGGACTAAGGTCTACTTACTCATGATAGTCTGCTCTCACTTTTACACGTGAATGATCTCATCTTGCCTGGTCTCTGCAAACCAGCTGGGTTTCTCCAGGGTCTGGAAGCAGCACCTGCTCTGCTTTGCCTCTTAGGTGATTATGTTCATCTTATTTGGAATTAGGAAAAACAAAATTTTCAACTCTGAGGCTTGACTAACATAGTGTTTTCCACTATTTCCAACTGTCCTTTCTACACTGAAGTCATAACTTATTTTAGGTACAACCTCCTCCCTCATTACCCTAGAAATACAGCTCTGAGTATGTCTATTATACTTTTGAAAAACTTTCATTGGCATTGAATTCACAAAAGGAGCATTTCCAAACTCCACATCTTAGTTCAGAGTCATGGTTCTCAAAACTGTACCGTGCATCAGAACAACCTAGGGAGATTGTTAAAAACATAGATAGCTGGGCTCTACGTTGAGTGTCAGATTCAGCAGGTCTGGACAGGACCCAGGACTTTGCATTTCCAACAGGTTCCCAGAGTATTCTACTACTATTGGTCCATGGAACACAGTGAGAGAACTCCTGGGCTAATGGGTCCATTCCAACTGGCTACATTCCCATTCCTAACATGTGATTCCAGTACATGCTGCTCTCTGTTCCTTCTGTATCCTTTCCTACTCCACGCCTTTCTTGTGTTTCATCTACTTATTCACTCACTTGTAGATTCACTCATTCAATCAATGCTTCATTATTCCACCAAACATTTTTAAAGACCAAAAGGACCAGCTTTCTCAAGTGCCATCATGAAGTTTATGGTACCAGATGAGAAAGAAAACAAAATACCCATTTCACTTATGGGGTACTTCATGATTTTCAAAGAGCTTCCAGGGGTCGGCACTGTGGTGCAGTGGGTTAAAGCCCTGGCCTGAAGCGCCGGCATCCCATATGGGTGCCGGTTCTAGTCCCAGCTGCTCCTCTTCTGCTATGGCCTGGGAAAGCAGTAGAAGATGGTCCAAGTCCTTGGGCCCCTGAAGCCATGTGGGGGACCCGGAAGAAGCTCCTGGTTCCTGGCTTCGGATTGGCACAGTTCTGGCCATTGCAGCCAACTGGGGAGTGAACCATCAGATGGAAGACCTCTCTCTCTCTCTGCCTCTCCTTTCTCTGTGTAACTCTGACTTTCAAGTAAAATAAATAAATATTTAAAAAACAAAAACAAAGAGCTTCCACAGGCGAGCTCTCACTTGATGGTCTCCATCACCTCTCACAAGGGAGGGAACTGAAGGCTAGGAAGGAGAAGCAGATCAACCAAGGAAAGAACCAGCCCAGCATTCTAGTCCCAGGCAATGGTTTCCTCCCAACCACTCTGCTTCAATCTTGGCTCATGGTGCTCCCTCTCTCCTTGCTGCCCAAACTGTACCCTGTTTTTAAATCCCAGTCAAGTTGCACCTCCTCCATAAAACAGTCCCTGGTAACCCTAGTTAAGATAGTTTTTTCCTGGGGCTGTTATGGCATAGGGGGTAAAACCACTGCCTGCAATGCTGACATCCCATATGGAAGTTGGTTCAGGTCCTGGCTGCTCCACTTCCAATCCAGCTCCCTGCTAATGCCCTGGGAAAGCAGTGGAAGATGGCCTAAGTGCTTGGGCCCCTGACACCTGATGGGAGACCTGGATGAAGTTCCTGGCTTCTGACTTCAGCATGGCTCAGTCCTAGCCATTGAGGCCAGTTGAGTGAACCAGCAGATGGAAGATCTCTCTCTCTCTCTCTCTTTCTCCCTCTCTCCCTCTCTTTTACTGTATTAAGTAAATAAATAAATCTTTATTATTATTAATAATAATGATAATTTTTCCTGCTTGTAACTAAGATAGTATTGTTTCTCTACTGTCTTTTTTAAATAGCACCCCCAAAGACTAATTTCCTTGAGAATATTATCAAAATTTGAATTTCCTTTGTTTTCTTTCTCGGTACCCCTTTCTTGGTCTATAGTAGAGTTTATAAAGTCCAGAGAAATGAATGAAAGAATAAAGGATAAAGGTTGAAAAAATAACAATTTCACCTCTTTTCTGAGTCAATAGTTTTGTTCATAAGATAATCAATGGGCCAGCGCCGCTGCTCAATAGGCTAATCCTCCGCCTGTGGCGCCAGCACACCGGGTTCTAGTCCTGGTCGGGGCGCTGGATTCTGTCCCAGTTGCCCCTCTTCCAGGCCAGCTCTCTGCTGTGGCCCAGGAGTGCCGTGGAGGATGGCCCAAGTGCTTGGGTCCTGCACCCCATGGGAGACCAGGAGAAGCACCTGATCCTGGCTTCGGATCAGCGTGGTACACCAGCTCTAGCGTGCCAGCCACAGCAGCCATTGAGGGGTGAACCAACGGACAAGGAACACCTTTCTCTCTATCTCTGTCTCTCTCTCACTGTCCACTCTGCCTGTCACACACACACACACAAAAAGATAATCAATGTAATCAATGAAGGATATATTTGGAGATAAAAGCAGACCTGTGTGTTAATCTCTTTCTCTGTAAATAGGGGTGCATTAAGTGCTTGCCAGGTGTCGAGTGTTTGATGTTACGACATTTTGCTCTCATAACCAACAGATGAATATTACTAATACATCTTCAAGTGGAGGTACCAATGCCACAACTGTTCAGAAATTCAAACATTGAAGGCATTTTATAGAGGTTAAATCCTGTTTAACCTCATGTAGCAACACAAACACATAAAACCACCCCTAATTGTACCATGACAATAAGAGAGTGTCAAGTATCCACATAAAAAATTAACTCGTGTACAATAACAATAATCTTAAGATCACCTTTTGACAACACTGCTTTGCACTTTGTTCTTATGGGTCATTCATTCAGCATTTGCTGAGTGAATCCAATCCATTATTTTCCAGAGGGAAAGGGATTTCAATATTACCGTATTCTTTTCTGGTTTCCCAAGTGACCAGTTTATCACTGATTGTAGAATTATGGCCTGTGATTTACATGGTAAATCTGTCTGAACAGGTTGAACTGTGTGTGAAAATGCCTGTAAGAGATGACTGTGGAAGACTTGGAGTAAAAATTCTGTACTGGGCTGCGGGCAGGGGTGGGGGTAGGGGAATAAACCAGAAATGCCTGCCATGAGTAAGCCTGAAAGGAATAATAACTTCAGCAAAAATGGAAAAGTCAGACATAAAGCAATGTGTTAAACACTTACTGTATTATAGAGCTGATAACTATTAGGGAGTTCAATCAAAGAATTTTGTCAGTGAGTGACAGGTGGACTTGATCGAGGCAGATGACATTGGTGAAATGGTGGAGGTTATGCACACATGGGTTCTGCAGGTAACCACTCCCGACAGCAGAGATCAGCAGTATCCTGAAAACAAGAGGTGCATCCAGCATTATTGTTCTCATAAACGTATGATCTCCCAATGTGCATCTCTTCCTCTTATGGCTATTATCATATCGTCCCTGGCTAACACCTGTCAGTATAATTTCTAGGGTTTATTACAAGATCTTATTTCACTAGCCATTAAGACAGTTAACTATCAATCTTGGCACTTAAAGGTTTTATTTATTCATTTGAGAGGCAGAGGGAGTGAGAGCAAGAGAGAGAGAGAAACAGACTTCCCATACAATGGTTCTCCCCACAATGTCCTGGGCCCAGGTGGGGCCAAATTCAGGAGGCAAGAACTTAGTTCAGGTTTCCCAAGTAGCTCAAGTAGATGGTTTGCTGCCACCCATGTGAGAGATCTGAGTTGAGTTCCAGGTTCTTGGCTTTGGCTTGGCCTAGCCATGGCTATTGGCAGACATTTAGGGAATAAACCCACAGATAGGAGAGTATCTCTCTCTCTCTCTCTCTCTCTCTCTCTCATGAGTTAAATAAATGAATGAACATTTAAACCAATTCATGCATCTAGAGGCCTATATGTGTGCTCAGAGATATGACATATCAGGGAACTGATCTTCTTAAAAATAACAAATATATCAGATATTTTATTTTTGCCACTACTTCCTAGAAAAAGTTCAGAAATGATCCCTTGACCAATGGCAGGCAGGTTCCTAAAACTCTTTGTATTGGAGAATTCATAGTAAGGACAAATTAAGATACCTGTATAGAAACACATCTTATTCCCCCTCCATGTGCCTATCTGAGGACAAGCTGAGAGGACCTGTCATTTTGCCTGGTCGCTGAGAGACTCTGCAACAATCAAGTTTGCTTGCTAAATAGCTTGAAACAACAAAATAACTTAAGCTTACATTTTTTTTTAAGTTGCAGACTTTAAGTAAAATTTTAATGAATTTTTTTCTTTTTATAAATGATTTCAAAGGCAGAATAATAGAGAGCAAGAGAGAGAGAGAGGCCAGCGCCATGGCTCACTAGGCTAATCCTCTGCCTTGCGGCGCCAGCACACCGGGTTCTAGTCCCGGTCGGGGCACCGGATTCTGTCCCGGTTGCCCCTCTTCCAGGCCAGCTCTCTGCTGTGGCCCGGGAGGGCAGTGGAAGATGGCCCAAGTGCTTGGGCCCTGCACCCGCATGGGAGACCAGGAGAAGTACCTGGCTCCTGGCTTCAGATCAGCGCAGTGCACCGGCCGCGGCGGCCATTGGAGGGTGAACCAACGGCAAAAGGAAGACCTTTCTCTCTGTCTCTCTCTCTCTCACTGTCCACTCTGCCTGTCAAAAATTAAAAAAGAGAAAGAGAGAGAGAGTGTCCATCCACTGATTCACTCCTCAAGTGGCCACAACAACCAGGGCTCGACCAGGCTGAAGCTAGGAGCCTGGAACTCCCTCAGGGTCTCCCACATTGGTGGTAGGGGCCCAAGCACTTGGGCCATCTTCTGCTGCTTTCCCAGGCACATTAGCAGATAGCAGAGAACTGGATCAGAAGCAGAGCAGCTGGAACTGGCGCTGGCACTCTGATATGGGATGCTGGCAGTTGCAACCAGTGGCTTAACATGCTAAGCCCCAGGACCAACCCTTTAATGCATATTTACTTCTTCCAATCACCTTATTAGTTCTATAATTATCCTCACTTTATTGGATACACTGAGAAATTTAGAACCAAAATGTCAATGGCTTGCCCAAGGTCACACAGCTAGTAAGTGGTGACCCAAGCAGGCTGCCTTCTGAGCCCATGTCCTTACACAATTATACTCTACTGCTTCTTAATCTACAGATAGTGATATGTTCGTTTCAATGTAAGAAACACACATTACTAAAATAATGAGAAAATGAGAAAAGAAACTGTAAAGCTACTAACTTTTCATAATTACTGTTATCCTTTTTGGGATATTTGATTTCAGTAATATTTATGCATATTTTTTCAATTGTTGTAATCCTGTGATGTTTATACTTTTTCTTCACATTATACCAGAAATATTTCCCATGTTGTAAAAAGTGTCTAGAATGTTCACTTTTAATATCTGCAAAGTATTACATGTTTTACTGATTTGGAAACATCTTGAGTTGTTAGATACTTAGTTTGCTTCCAAAAGCCTAGAGTAAGTTATAAGTGAATGCTGAAGAAAGGGCATTATGGCACAGTGGGGTAAGCCCCCTCTCAGAGTGCAAGGGATGAGTCCCACTTCTGCTTCCAATCCAGGTTCCTGTTAATGTGCAGCCTGATACGGCTCCAATATTTGGTTCCTGCCACACACGTGGGAGACCTGGATGGATGGAAATCCTGGATTCCAATTTGGCCTGGTCTGTTGCAGTTGATTTCTCAACAATGTTGCAATGGATTCGTTTCTGAGAGGAGGAGCGTGGTGGGGGCAAGCGGCGCGGTGTCACCACACAGACCCCGGGACTCTGGTGAAACTGGGCTTGAGGCAAGCAGCCCACAGACTCATTTATTTTAGTTAGTACAACAGCTTATTTAGCCAAGACCAGCCAATCTGGTCAAGGGACAGTCTATGCCCCAACCAATCACAGCCTGTTGCCAGTCAGTGTCCAAAGCCATCCAATCACAGCCTGTTGCCAGTCAGGCTCTTGTTGCCAGGCAGTTTCTGAAACCATCCAATCACAGCCTGCTGTCAGTCAGGCTCTGTTGTCATGTGCTTTCCTCTGTTGTCATGTGGTTTCTGAAGCCATCCAATCATGGCCTGTTGCCAGGCAGTTTCTGTTGTCAGTGGCCATCTTGGCATGACCTTTTCACCTCAGTGGCCATCTTGGCATGAACTTTTCACCTCAGTGGCCATCTTGATATGAACTTTTCACCTCATTCCATCACACTGGTCCAGCCCTGGTCATTACAAGCACTTGGGGAGAGAACCAGAGGATAGATTGATCTCTCTCCCTTTGTTCTGTCTTTTAAATAAATAAAAATAAGTAAATGAACCTTAAAAAGTAGTTCTTTACATAAAATTTTTATTAATTAAAAAAGAGTTTAAAAAAAGTGAATATGAAGCAGACAGCCTGGTTCATATCATTGCTCCCATACTCAACAGCTATCAAACCTTTAGGGAGTTACTTGATCTGCCAGTCAACCCCCATTGTGAGGAATAACTGCATTCATTGAAATAGATACTTGAAGCTTTGCCTACAGAAAGGATTTTTAAAATAGTTTTATTTATTTATTTGAGAGGCAGGGTTACTGAGAGAGAGAGAGGGAGAGACAGAGAGAGATCGAGAGATCCATGGGGCTCACTCTCCAAATAGCCACAAAGGCCAGAGCTGGGCCAATCTGAAGCCTGGAGCCAGCAGCTCCCTCCAGGTCTCCCATGTGGGTGCAGAGCCCAAGCACTTGGGCCATCTTCTGCTGCTTTCCTAGGCCATAGCAGAGAGCAGGGTCAAAAGAGCAGCAGTCGGGACATGAACTGGTGCCCATTTGGGATGCCAGCACTCAGGCAGAGGCTTAGCCTACTAAGCCACAGCACCAGCCCCTGCAGAGAGGTTTTAATATCTTACATGAGTCTCTAGTGTCCAGCTCATTCATGAGGCAATGTGCATTGAAAACAGTTCTTTGTGATCCATTCCTAGAGGTAAGATCACTACATCAAAAGATACACATATCTTTCATTCAAATAATTGATTCAAGGTGTCAACAAGTATTACCAAAAAGTATAACATAGATGTATATACCCCTAGTTAAGGAAGAAGAAATAATTTTTGGGGGCCGGCACCGTGGCGTAGTGGGTAAAGCCGCCGCCTACAGTGCCAGCATCCCATATGGGTGCCGGTTTGAGTTCCAGCTGTTCCACTTCTGATCCAGATCTCTGCTATGGCCTTGGAAAGCAGTAGAAGATGGCCCAATTCCTTGGGCTCCTGTACCCACGCGGGAAATCTGGAAGAAGTTCCTGGCTCCTGGCTTTGGATCAGCCCAGCTCCGGCCGTTGTGGCCATTTAGGGAGTGAACCAGCTCATGTAAGACTCTCTCTCTCTCTCTCTCTCTCTGCCTCTCCTTCTTTGTGTAACTCTGGCTTTCAAAAATACATAAATAAATCTTTAAAAAATAATTTTCCAATGCACCCTTTCTGACTTGAGTTTCAACATTAAATTTTCTATTGCTTTGTTTTCCAGTTCATCAATATGTTCTTCAACTATTTCTAATCTGCTCTTGTAGCCAAGAACTGCTTTTAATTTCTGTCGGTCTCTCAGTTCTGTAACTTTGATTTGATTCTTTGCAAAATTGTCAGCAATTTACTGAAATTTTCTATCTTCTCATGTAATTTTTGTGATAATCACAGATATTTTAATGTCTGTTACTCCTGTACCTGGATCTCCTATAGGTCTGTTTTTGGTAGTTTTATCTTACCTCCTATTAGGACTGGTACTTCTACTGAATGTCAGACACCATATATGAAAAATCGCAGAGATAATTTGAGTGTCTGGAAGATCATATTTTTGTCAAGTGATGTTTTATTTTAGCTTCTGACAGGCAACTTGGAAAGTGAGATCTCCTACTCCCTGCTCTCTGGGTTCTTGGCCTCTCAAGCTGCTTCCAAAATGGCTTTGAGGAAACGTTGGCTAGGTTTTATCCAGCTTTTCTGCTCGTCCTTGGAGAGTGAACAGATCTAAATCCAGCTGGGAGTATACGTCCTTGACATTAATTTTAAAATAATTAAACCTAAATATAGCATTTTTGTTTAAGAGTATATTTATTTGAGTATTAAGGCTGGTTGTTTTTACATATGCAAATGTATTATAGTTTGTCTTTTGTGAAAAGTGATTCTGGGCTTATCTCATGTATTAGTTAAATGTGTTTCTATTTTTACCACTTGTATTGCTCCTGTGAAATAATCATATTAATGCTTTGTGTTATTATGTTCAAATAATTGCACCTAGGCTACTGTTTGCTAGTTACACTGTTGTGTTACTATAATTGAATCTATTTTATTGTTCACTTTGCAATTTATTACAATATTCTAAGTCTATAA